CTTAGTTCATTAATCGACACCACAATTACTTTGAACAACTACATAGTGAACGATAATATATTCGGACTGGACGCTTCATATAATTACGATCGAACTTCACTAAAGGTAAGTTCGTTTGATCGTATAATTCTTTTCTACGTTATTCTCAGCTGTAGCGTTTGGTTGAACTTTCCCATTGATCGCCAGTTACAATTGGAACTATTTCAAACGACTATAAAATTTGCACTTACAACTCAAACGTTAGCGTCTTGAACGTAAAAAGCTACATTCGTACAATTTTCTGTAGCTTGACAAAGAAAATAAGGAATAAACCGATGGCAATTTAATCACAACGCTATTAGGGAATGACTTTAACGTCGGTTTAATTATTTAAAGATATTTCATTTGTATAGCGTCCTAATTTAATTGTTTTAGTTGAGTTGAGTGATCATAAACCGTAATGCCCGCTTTTTGATGAACCTATTTACACCCGCCCCAGTGACACAAATTGTCGTGATAATTAAAAGCAAACATTTATATAACGTTTTATTAAAATACGGTGTCTGTCATTTTGATTTTAGAATTTCATTTCCGAAAATATTTGCATTACTGCTGCAGTATTTTTACACATTTTTATGGTATATCCAGCGAATATAATACGGTTTTTACATTGCGAAACGTGTTTCATAGAGCGGTCATTATACAGCACGCATTTTTCTTGCATTTTTATATATGCGTGAATGGAATATATTTTGGCAATTGTTTGAGTCTAAAGAACATGTTACACCACAGTTCAAATGTGCCATTTTTAAACTGTTACCACCCTGATACCATGTTAATAATTCAACCGGATCGTTTTTTGCTATCCATATTTGTGTTAAAAAGTCATTTTGAATGAATACTATAGCAATCTATTGCATGCATTTGATCCGTTTTTTAACTATATATATAGCCCATATGTACACATATAAGAATTCCCCTGTATTTGTAGTTGATATCATTGAAACAAATTTGCAAGCAATACAATTACACGTCGCTTAGTATAAGAATAAGATATATGTTTCTTCGCATGGGCTAGATAGAGATGAAAATATAATAGCGTAATTTGTGTACTCACAGGCGGCTACCTGCGATGATTGACGTGACTGTTTTTGTACTAGAAGAGCAATAATACTTAAAATCCCATGCACTCAATCAAATGTCGCTGCCCTCGTACCTACATTGCTTTACTTTACTAAAATTATAAACGTTAAATACAAAATTCTGTATTCCCTAAAAACTCCAAAGAGCGATTAATTAATTTTTATATTGAGGGAGAGGGGATCAATTTTTATGCGAAAATAAGTCTTGCAAATTGAAACCTGTGGAAAGGGTTGTAACCTTAGCAAATTTTTAAACGAGACAAGTGGCCAAGTTACTCATACATGTAATTTGAAATGGATTTTCATTATTTACATAATCCTTTCGTTTTTTTAATTGATCCGCTAATTGCTACTTTAAAGTTTCAAAGTTAAAAGTTAATAAAAGCCCAAAACAGTTTAAACTAACGAATACATTGCTCGAAATGACCTCCACTAACTTTTGTACAACAATACTATCTCCATTGGAGCCTAGATCTTACATTTCTCAATTGCACAGGAGTATTTTCTCCGGTATTGGGCAATAATTTTTGTGGTAGTAAATGTTCGTCGGGAAACCTTGTGTATAGTAGGATTTTTCATTAGTTTGTGCGCATCTCATTACTAAGTATGTCTACATAGCATCATGCAATCAATGGAAGGGAATATGTATGTAGACAACCATACAGACAGTGCTGCTGTGGGAGGATATCATTTATATCAATGACTTCTATTGGCCAAATACCAAAAAATGTTGCAAAATCCACTCGTGGGTCTTGCCACGTGACGTAACTGTAAATGATGAATAACGGGCAAATATATACCATAGCAGCTATCAATTAGCGAAAACCCGAAAGTTTACAGCTGGACCAGGGGCCGAGATCTCGATGGAACAGACAGACAGACAGATGATGGAAAAACGAGTATATTAGCGTTACTTCTACTTCGTTGTGTTACGATAAAAAATGTTTCGGTAGTTATTTGTAACAGGTTGTCTCTCTCTTGAACGTAAAGGAGAAATTTGTTAAAGAAATAATTTTAAATGCTTTTTCGTAATAAAAATGTCCTCAGTAATTAGCGGCAGAAGTCGAGAAGCGAGTGCAATCTTGACTTACCACATACTCACGAGCACAGCCACCGTTACTTTTATGTCAAAACGACGAACGTTTCGCGGAACTTTCGAATCTGGGTAGCAGCCGGTGTACTGACCGTTCTTTTTGGGATGAATAATAAGTCATAATTTTGTGCGTAATAAAAGACGAGAACATAATAGTTATTTATGTATTAAAGGCATAATAGTGATGTTTATATTCTCGAGGGCGACGAGTTAAAAAGCTCGAGGGCATATGGCCCGAGAGCTTTTTAGTCGCCCGAGAGTATAAACATCAGTTTATGCCCGTGGTACATACACAATTTTATGTTTTACAAATAGTTTTCTTCGTCAAAATTCGTTTACAAAATAATTCATTATGTTTGATCGAGTATGCGTGGTTCAAATTTGTTAATGTGATTGAAACCATCCAAACGTCAAACGTAATTTTAAATAATTCAGTTCATCGTGAATGAGGAAGAAGTTCCAGAAACTATACGAAATAAGGCCAATCTTGTGATTTAGTAGATATTGACAATTAATAATCGACGTTTCTAGTTTTCAATGACCTGCAAATATTTGTTTGTTTTGTCATTAAGTATAAATGAGTTACTATGGTGATACTTAATGCCCTAGGGCATAGTGGTACTTTATGCCCGCGTATCACAGATATAAAGTGTGCTATTATAGGTTAGTAAGACATAAACTATATTACGCACTCCACCAGGGAAACCTTCTTCGGGACAAAAACCGTGCCATAGCCCACACAAATACACGAACTAAATCAGCGAAGACAATAAAAGCGAAAGAAAATCCACAAAACATTTCAAATTGTGTAACAATAAAAATCGCTCCAGGAATTTCAAGATTTCTTCCAAAAACATCAACGTGCACTATTCCAGGTGGTTGTTGCACGTCACAAGGGCGATAAAATTTCCTTTTACTTGTTCGCCTGATAAAAATCGAACCAGAGCCTTTTAACCGAAGACGAGTTCCTTTCGGATTCCCATGGATCTCTATCTGAATCATCTTCCACATCAATTATAAATGGGGCTACATCTTCTCGATCACTTCTCTGGGCCATCAATCTAAAATAATTAGGTTGGTATGCTCTAGGTGCGTTTTTACATATCAGGTGGAACTGCATCAGTGGCTTGTTGCCACATATCTAAATACTCTTTTCTGCCACAACTTTCTATCCTAGGTATGTGTCGGTTATAATGTTGCTTGCAAATTGTAGGGAAGCAACCGTAGTACCACATGTCAATTTTCTAATACCATCTCATCAGCAGCATGCCGTTTTGAAGATTTCTTTCTGAAATAACAAATTTTTTAGTCTTGAAACTAAAATTATTACTACAAATCAACCATTGTGCATGAAATTTAAGGAAACAAACCTTGCAACAAACTCCAGCAATTCCACTTTTAATGAATCATTTGGAAACTCAACATTTTGGGCTTTAGCCATCCCTGTAGTTGTGATTTAGTCCGGGAAGAATTTGGCAAGTTGTCCAATAAGCTACTATGATAACTATCATTTTCTATAATAAAACCATTCATGTTTCCGGCATGTAAAACCACATACCAATAGTTAAATATCATGATATTTTTCTTATGCCTTTTGCACTGTCGTCTTGCCAATTGCCATGACTTACATTTTGTTCCATTTTCTAATACCCAAGTTTGATCCAAAAAGACACATTGGTGTCGAGTCTGTAACGGAAGCTTGTTAAATTTTGCAAGTTTTGTGGATTTCAAAATTATATTCAAGTAGAAATGCGTATCGATGATTCAGATTTCTGTGAAGTTGTAATGTTCATTAAAATTAACAAACATTTTTTTTCGATGTAATTAAGTTTCAAATATCGTGAAATATAAGATGAGTTATTGGTTTTGGACTTCCTATTTTGGGCGAGTTAACGATTAGTACGTGATTTAAAAAAGGTCACCGGTTAAAAGACGCAATGGATTCTAAGAAAAATATGTAATAAAACAGCGAGCCTAAAAAATTATGAGTTTGTTTATTTCCGGAAACTTGATGGGAGCGTTAATTACGGGCGTTGGTTTACTCGCGATATAAAAACCAAAATGATCAGAAATTTGGGAGCTTTTTGCGTAGATATTCACGCGGAGCGTGGTACCGCCCCGGAAAACGCGGCCACCACTTATAAAGTTTTTTCGTAGATATTCGCACGGGCGAGTGTCATCGCGGAAACGGGCCATTTAAGTAAAAAGGCCCAAACCAAATAAAATTTGTTGCGCGTATTAATAAAAAATCGTATTTTTTAACCAAGAACAAGTTGGTCGTTCTGGAATAGTGAATTGTTCGGAAAGTATTAATCATTGAGTAACTGCAGTTTAGTTTAACGTGCGATTGAAAGACTTCCGTTCAGAAATTATACCTAAAGTACGAAAAGCGCGCTAAGAAATTGTTGTTCAATTGGGATTACGCGATTGGATTTAATAGGCGAATATTGAGAATAATCTAAATCATGCTCCACCACAATACCCACCATCTAAAAAGGGGAAGAATACTACTGTCTAAATTGTAAGTTATTTTTATGAAAAGTGATTTATCTAGAAATTTATTCATATAAAATTTTTATTTTGTCATTTTATAATTGCTTTTGCCGAATGGTTTTATATAGATAGGATAAATATAAGTTAGAAGTTAGAAGAATATTCAGTGCTGTAGGTATTTAATTAAGTGTTATATTAAGTAACTTTAAATATTATTCAGATTCAGGATAGATGTAAGTAATTGAGTAATTAAGATTTAATATAAAAAAGGAAATCAATTGTGAGTGCAATGGAATTTGGATTTATTTTATTTTTTTCAATATAATCTGTTTATTTATGTAGATTTATTTTTTATCAATCAGAAACGTGAGACGGTAATAGTAGGGCTATTACAAGTCCCAGGTTGCATATTTTTTTTACACATCTAAAAAATATACTCTTGATAGTTCAATATTGGGTAATTCCTTTTCTTGGATTATCTCTTTTATCCATAAAATACGCCTCCCTATTTTAGAACTTGCAAATAGGATTGAAGCGTAGGATGTTCTAAAATAGAAACGTAAACCGCCATCAACATCTCTAACGGTTTCTTACATTGCCTTATTCTTCAGTCAGTGTTCGCTAATATTTCATGCACCTGCAACTCTCTGTGAAATGAAACTTGTTACCTGTACGAATTCTTCTATTCCTAATGTAACCACTCACCTCTCTTACTGTTGCGACTGGTGAAAGTGGACCACCATTACCTCTTTCTCGTTCAAAATATTGAATAAGATTAGAAATAAGGTGTTTACTTTTCCTTGGTCAACCCGATGGCATTTTTGGGTTATACCATTTTTGGCGCAGAATATCGAAGTGAGCTTCTATAAAAGTTATGAAACTAACAAATGTTTTATCCGCTATAGCAAAACGCGATAAAATAATGCAAACAGCAGCAAACAGTTGTAAAATTTGACGTGTTGCAACTACAACAACTTCGATTGACAGGTAATCTGAAAACAAAAAAATCCTAACACTATGTCTTTTTGGTTTTATGTTTTTAAATAACGCACAACTCTGCCTCAGGAACCTATGTTTTGTGAAATACATTGATCTAACTCTAACATAAGTATGTAAGAAAATCCTACTTTATATATTTTGACATGTGGCGTAAGCGCAATTCCAGTCCCTATTAGTCACGTGTGTATAACGTTTATATTAATTCTATTTGGAATTGTGAATACCAAACACCGTTTCAATTGGTCCACATAAGTGAATTTCAGTAGGTGCACTAATTAGTTTGAACATTCTACCTAGCACGCATTCAACCTTGTCCAAAACACAACTATCGATAACACAAAATGCACTTACATTGTATATGACGCGACGGTCGTGACCAGACGATGTGTGTCAAATCAGTATTCAACAATAAGTAATGCACCAATGGCAAACTAATTAAGCAACTAATTCCAGGCTCAATGTATTTTATTAAAACTCGTGATAATTTTCAAAATAAAACCAGCGCATTTTATATTCAGAGATAATTTTGCTTACAATAGTTTGTGTCATGCACTATGCCGTATTTTATGCAAAACAAATTTTTGGGCTCAGATCAGACTCCTTGTGGAACAAATCGTTAATGGTGCAAGTATACACATCTCGGAGAAAATCAATGCGCATCTTTTAGTTAGATGGGACCTAATTATAGTTGGAAACTACCTATACGTTGGTGATAACGCCGTTCATTAATCATCGGTTCTATCTTCGATCTGTTGCCAGTGGGCTTCCTTTATGGACTGAAAAGCGCCCTAACAAAGCAGTAGGAAATTCTGTCTTTCCTCGATACATTTATCTCAATTTGTTATTATGACAAACGTTATTGTGATTTGCAACTTCCATATGGAAGGTCGATACCGTTTAGTTCGGTGATTGGCACCTAATTGCACAAATTAATTACATTGCTCCAGTAACTTATTTATAAACAGATCGCAAATATTACTCCTCTTGCGTTAGGTATTATAGGTATATAGCAAAGTTTTGGAGATTCTGAGAAGGAAATGAAATCTCCAATTCATTGAAACATATCATCACCGAGGAAGGCAACCCTTAAAATTAACTATTTTGCAATTGCAATTAAACCAAGGGCATCCTGCTGATTTGGAGGGTCCAAACGAGAAAATTATATTTTTGGATCGATATCCGTCCGTGTCACATAAACTTCCAATGTGAAGTATGTTTGGTTGCATAACAATCAAACAGAAAATGTGAACGTACCTGCTGGACGATTCGGATTTGTGGATATCTTGAGAACGTTTAACTTGAACTCTATTGGGGCCCAAAAACGAATTAAAAAATTTCGTTCCCTTAAATACTTGCACTAAACTCTACGACGGCTCAAGGTGCATTAAAATTTTCGCTCTCCTTGAACTAACGTCTGAATTCAGAAAGGCGCGTTCAGCTTTTTCTGTAACAGAAAGCAACCCAACAATCAAATAAAAGGAGTAGTGAATAGCATATGGCACATAAACTATTGCGTTATAGCAATGTTAACGTCTGACACGGAGGCAATCGTATATAAAAACTGTAAGTAATACTCAGAAAGAATCAATAATTTAAGTGACTTTACACTATCAAAAGCCACATTTTGATCGACCACGGATTATCCTTACAGGCAGTCGTGTGATATGAAAGCATAACGGGATAAGAACTTAAAAGAAAACTCAGTGAAAGGTTGAGGTTTGAGTGAAGGTAAAACCCTAAAAAACATTTAAAAAAATGCTGCGTAATAATACATCGTATTGTTTAAACGCAAAATACAGGTCCGTAAAAAAGTTTCAATGGAGCCACCACAGACATCAAACTCCAAAGATAAATATGGTAAAGCCAAAACACTAAGCCCTGGTTCAGGTAAGACACGATGTCAGAGAAGTAATGGCGTACTAAGAGACAATCACAGTGAACAACACGAAAGCAGAAGTTTCACTGAGGGCAAAAAATAACTGCGCGGGTATTCACATTTTTTTGGAACGTTAGAACACTCTCAATTTGTAAGCTAGACACGCCCATGATTGTCAGAACACTATGAGGACTATTTTCTGAATGTAAATGTATGAAAATCTTTAATCTATTCGATTTTGAATTTTCTTTTCTTCTTTATTACAAAAAATATCATATGAAAAAATGGAACAATAGGTTAGTACGACTAAGTAAATACTCTATTTATTACTAACCAAGCAATAGCGTATTATTTAAATGTAATATTGTAACGTAAATTTAATTACATGATTTATTTATTTACAATTAACTAACAATAAATTTATAACAGTTTTGAAATTGATTAATTTATAACAGTAATTATTATTTATCACTCAGAATTTATAACACAACACGAGCGTATCGATGTTGGAACTAACTCCAAGCACAATTCGATTCGTTTATATATAAAACGCCCATATTTATCGAAAGTTCTTGAACGCTTCCGAACGTTCCCGAATATTCTGGAATGTTCTCAAACAAACATGTCATATTTCCCGGAAACTGAGTATATTTTACCAAAACAAAAGGAATGTAATTGAATATTTGGGGGAAAAAAGTGAAACGACCCGCGGAATGCATTCGCAATATGCAATACTGTAGGCGGGTCCTGGCCCACACCACCCACCCTCTGGCAACGCACTGGTAGTCTTTGGGCTATTCTTATGCTAAACACCTCGCAGATATCCGACTAGCTCGGCTTCTACTTAAACCGCTGCGTGTATTAACCCAATACGAAAATCTCTAATAATTAACAAAAGGGGCAAGGGATAAACTTTGTGGTGTTCCAGGGGGGCAATGGTAGGCATAGATGAGGGTGATTGGTCTATTACCGAGGGTACTTTCGGAGAGCCCAGGCAGAATGGGTATCCTAAATAACAAGTGCGCACGGCGTTTACGTTTCAAACAGCTATGAGCTCCATCTTAGCCCCCCACCTCCAACGACGTAATGCACCCCACTTGTAGGGTTGGACATCCAGGAGAGCTCAGTGCTAATTCAAGGCGTGAGGCTCCTGGTAAGTTATCTAATTATTCGCCGATAGTTGCGGATCAGCATTTAGAGGTTTGTTTACGTGACCATCCAACGCAAAACTGAACAAACCTTTCGCGTAGATTACAGAGGTTGCTTTTAATGAAAGGTGAGCTTATCGTAGACATGGAAACAAGTGAGCTTTTACCAACTATTATCCCTCATTTAATTAACTACTTCCCTTAGTAAAATTACGCGTCCTTACAAAAGTGAGCTTTCATTTGGCCTGCTTCCAAGCAAATTGTCGTCTTCTAGGTTTTAGTTAATTTTCCGGGAGCTAGTTTCTTATGGGGTGCAAGCCTTAGCCGACACAGCTTGCATAGCAGGTTAGAAAATTGGTTTTCCCCTGAGACTGTTTGCTTCAGTCGTAGATCAAGCTTTATTTAATCAGTATATTAAATTTTGTATAAGATCAATCTCTTTAAATGATTTGTCTTATTTTAAACATGTTGTCCAAAAGGGAGCTCCTTAAACGACTTTACAAAAAAGAAGTTTCCTTTTGTGCATTGTTTGATATTGGTTAATTTAAATAATAATAGTACCCAATGCCCCTGTAAAAAATATTGCACAGTTCCTTGTGTCTACCATCAATGTTGAACTGTACTACACCCTGCATATCACAGCGAATATTGTTGAAGTGTGACATAAACATTCCCATAAATAAAAAAAGTTGCTACACGTATATCCGATTGTAAACGGAACTTCCCCAAAATTCAATTTAAAGGACGTTATATTTATCTATAGCTTTTACGAGATCAATACGGGCTGAGTTTGACTTTAATGCGTTCAAAAAGCTTAGTCTAGCGCTGAACTTCGTTTTATATATTTTAATGTACATTTGATCATTAAAGTACATAATAACCTTTCGTTTCCCAAATGTTCGTTCGATGTAATAATGGACTGAAGTTGTGCCGTTAAATGATGATCCGGGGAAATTTCAATCTTCCCCAGAAATCTCTCCGTTCGACTATTCAGTAAAGCTTAGGCGATGATTCACTCACAATAACGAATTGCCTGGGCAGATGATAAAATCGCCGCCGTGTGGACTATTCGGCAATCATTTTGATCTTTCTCGTGTGTGTTACAGTTACAGATTCCTTTGAATAATGTCGGAGGCTGTTACATATTTTATTGAAACCTTTATGCAGTTTTCACTATGTTTTCGTATCGATGCCATGAAACTTTTACCGCTTTTTATTATCTTCCATCGATATAAACTTAAGAATAGGAAATTTTTAAAAGTCCGCGTATAAAATGAAAACGCAACGTTCTCGTAACTATCCCAGAAGTTTATGAGCTCGTTCGTGAAAACGTAAAAAAACTTTTTTCGAAATTCAGTACATATCATCGTCCTTATAGAATTACGCTTTAACCCATGTTCCAGATGCGTCCCAGAATTTCTGTGAACAATTAAAAAAGCCACACTAAATTTCGCTCAATAAACTTGAGCTGTTAGCTTCATAATTGAAATGCTTAGCTTTTTCAACAAAAAAAAAACTTGTTTGCTTTTGTAATTGTAACGTGAGCCTAAAGGATCATCAAACTTGCTTGTGCAAATACTTTATAATACTTTGGAAGAGGATTAGTAATTTCAGGAATCCCTTGAAAATTCTTGTTAGGTAACTTTCTTTTGGTACAATTTATTATATTCTGAAGTATAACAAAAGTTTAATCAAGCCTACGCAGTTCACATTGTTTTTTAGATATTTAATTTAGCTAACATAATGAAGGAATTATTGTTGGGAACAAATTTGTATAGGTACTCCATTCCAATGTGTTTTGCCTCAAATATCGATATTCCCGCTTATTTTATTGCTGGGTATGTTATATCGTAACCGGAAAAACAGATGCATTTTGAATTTAGAATTTTATTTTTATTTATATATTTACAGTATGAATACTGTCACTACTAGGTAGCAATATTGCGTTATTACAGCTATTCCCATTGAAACAAAGGCTGAAAAGCTGCTTTACGAAATCGCAGAGGAACAAAATTAGATTCAGCAAACAATTCCAAAATAATTATTTGTGTAAGAAAAACGTGAAGGACTCGTACAAAATAAATTTTATTCTTTACGGTGCTGGTTTACTGTTTCAATTCATTTTTTGTAATGAACTAATTAAATCCATGGCTGGCTCAGTAATAAGTAAACTTTTAATCACTCTTACCTTGGATGTAATTCATGCAACAAATTTCAATCCTCTCGTGATCACCTTTCAAATCTAATTAAATATCTAGGTTTT